CTAGTGTAAAACCTGAAAGAGTTAATTTAAACTAGGAGATATGATAGACATTGGGAAATGACAAGAAAGCACTCAAAGGTAAAGGGCAACTGGGATGTGGGAAAAGAGAAGGGAAAGAAGGAGAAATTTTGTATATATGTATATGCAGGATAGTCAACATGGTTGTTCTACTGTCTTGTATTTATTTGCTGAAAGAAACTGTCAATGAGTCCTTGGTTGATCAGCATTGCATGTCTCTATCTGTTTTCATGAGAAACCATTTTGAAGATATCAGTATGTAATACAACCACCATTGTTAATTCCCTACCACTTTGTTTGTAACTCCATACTGTCTGTACTGTTCCTTTGCTATTTTGTAAAATGTTGTCTGTCTGTGAATGTTTTCATCCTTTTATTTTTAAAATTTAAAAAAAAAAGAAAAGAAAATGACTCAGAATACTCTGGATGTTACTATAATGAAAGATGCATACAATTATACAGTTGTCAAAATCTATAGAATGTTGTAAATGTGATTGAACCCTACTGTCAACTATGGAGTTTGGGCTATAATGATGTTTTGATGTAGGTTCATCAGTTATAACACTGCTGTACCATTGTGGTGGGGCATAGTGGAGAGTTCGGGAACCTATGTGCATGCCAAGACAGGAGTATGTGGAAATTCTCTATACTTTCCTCTCACTTGTATTATGAGCTGAAAACCATTCTAAAAATGAGATCTGTTCTAACAATTAAAATATTTAAAAAGAAGAAAGAACATAGTAAAGATGCATTAAAGGGCCTGAAGTGGAGAAATCTGAGAGAATTTTAAACACAAAATAAATAATCATAAAAAGAATACATTTGGGAATATACAAGATCACAATAATGTAAATAATGAAATATAATAAAAATAAATATGTAAACATGAAACATTCCCCTTACATTAGGTACTGGTTCACAAATGTAGAGAAATGATGGAACTTGGAAGTCATCATCTTGTAACTGCTATACTAATAAGAGTGGTCATAACAAAATCCATAGATCAAGAAAAGGGGAGGGGGAGGGCAAGGAGGAGGAGAGGACTGAAAATGATCAACATGCAATATATATCTACCAGTTCCCCAAAGGAATGTAATTATTATCTATCACACACGTACACTAATAAAAATTTTTAAAAGGAACAGTGAGGGCTGGGGATTTAGCTCAGCGGCAAAGCGCCTGCCTGGCAACTGCAAGGTTGTGAGTTCGATTCCTGGTACCAGAACAAAAGACAAACAACAACAAAAAAAAAAAAAAATAAAAGGAACAGTGGACTGAGGTGAAGGCATAAGGAGTCTTGGGGAAGGATACCTAAAGGTATATGTTTTTGCACATAGTTGGATTTTTAAGATGATAAAAATGATCTAAAATTAACTGTAGCTATGATTTTACAACTCATGTATATACAAAGTGTTATTTAATCACATACATTAAATGACTGAATTGGCTGGACATGGTGGCACAGGACTGTAACCCCAGCACTTGGGAGGCTGAGTCAGGAAGATTGCTGAGAGTTTGTGGCCAGCCTGGGCTACATACTGAGTTCAAGGCCAGTCTGAACTACACAGTGAAAACCTGTCTTAAAAAAAAATGAATGAATGAAAGAAACAGAAAGAAAGAAAGAAAGAAAGAAAGAAAGAAAGAAAGAAAGAAAGAAAGAAAGAAAGAAAGAAAGAAAATAAATGAGTTAACTGTATGGTCTGGGAATTATCTCAATAAGGCTATTAATTTTTTTAATCCATGAATAATAAAACCAGTGGGTGAACATATGAAGAGAAAAAAGGTATTTACACTGTCAAAAATGTTTCCCCTCAAAGTTACTCATTGTGAAAGGGGAAACAAATCTGTATGTGATTAACCTAGTGAACATACTTTCGCCAAGTATTCCCAGCGAACATCACTGCTTTGGGGACAGTATGCCTCTGACTGGAAGTGTAGGTGAAATTGTCCAGGCAGAGTTTCTGATTCCCTGAAAATGAATGAAGCCAAAACTCATCAGTATTGGTTCTGATGTAGGTAACTCTAATGACTTCAAATGCTTGGTTATGGTTACCCTTCAAGCTTTGAATATACTTAAGCCTTTGTGCTTCCAGAAAGTGCCTCCAGCTACCACATATAATATCTGAGTTTGTGTCTTCCTGAAATTGGGCAGAAATGCTCCTCTGCCTGGAAACCCTCCTACACTCTTCCAGAACAACCTTCTCCCTCTGAGCTTTGCCGTCAGTAGACCATACAGCATCCTTGGTTACCTTTATGGGACTCTGTCTCTTTAGTATTCTGGGAGTTCATCATCAGCTGAAGAAAGTCCACTCGGTGCTAGAAGAAAGAGGAATTTCAAAAACAGAAGGTCAGTCATGAAGTCACAAGTAAATCAGTAGTGCAGAACTTCACCTCCCTTCTCAATATGGCCCCTTCAAGTCCACAGAGTCAACTAGTGTTGAGCCATCAGTGAAAGACACTGTCTATCTGCATGCTTTGGAGATTAATTAATATGTTTCCCTGAGAAAAACCAGCTATCCACCCAATAGCTTTTGGTCTTTGCTCTCCCATATTCTCACTCTGGTTTCTGATCACCGATTCTTGGCCAGGCAGTGGTTTACTTCTTTTCCTGTCCACTTGATTGTGCAGGAAGAACCCCAATACCTTTGGTTCTCTGCTCTTCATTCATAAACCAGTGGTCTACAGATTAATTGGCTGCCATTTCCAGAGCTCAATGTGAGGTCTGTGTGATCATCTTCAAATATTCTACAATCCTAGAACATTACAAAATCCCCAGTAACATCTGTCCTGTTTTCCTGATCTGCTGACATCCTTGTTCTAGACTTCAGGCTACCTGAAACAAAGTGGGGTTACCTAGCATTAAAGATCTATTTTTAGAATAGACCCCTGCACATTCCATGCCAAGAGATGAACTCAAATTTAACACAAACCAAGTTCTTCACTGCGAGGAGTTTCCACTGGGTGATGTGTCATTTCAGAGGCTTAGAATTGAAATAATTCTTTATCAATATAATATCTAGGGGCTTATACTCCCATAATTATAATGTTTAAACATTAATTTTTATTCTTTAACAATTTTTTTGAGGAAAAGAGAGTGGTAAAGTTATTGTTTTAACAATACTTCTGTCCTGACACACTAAATTTTCTTCTGTTTTTCAATGTTAAACACTTTCTCTCTGACTCATTTTCATGCCAACTTCCCCATCTCCACCTTCTTATTTCCTGGAAAACATAAAAACTCTCATGCCTTAAACCTAGATTCTCTATTAAAACAGAGGAGTGTACAGATCACATGTATACAACCTGGAACATTATTAAAATTTCAACAGCCTCAGTCGCCACCACCATTACTACCCCATGGTACCTTCTGGTTAGGTTCCAGGCGATTTTCTTTCATCTTTTTTACAAATTTTGTGAAAAATTTCAAAGAATCTCGTGGAAAAATGGAGATACTTAGCAACTCGTACAGTGGAGTGAGGAATGGAAAGAGGACTGCACAGAAAAGAAAATACAATCTTTAATGAAAATACAAAATTTACTTTTTTCAGTTATGCTCTTCCGAGACAATCAGAGCACTAAAAGTCACTGGTCTCAACCAGGACCCATGTGCTGTCTCACACACAGGCACAGGACATCAGCGAGGACTGAGCAAGGCCACCAACATAGCAGTGAGATCAGTAGCACTTTCTTCACTTTGGAGTGATCAAAGGAGGATTAAATTCCCTAACTTCTTACCCTTTCATCTATTGGAATAGTCTCTCTGGGTAAACTAGACCATCATCCGATGATTTCATTAATCATGGTGTTCAAGAAAGAGCAGTCAGGATAAAACTAACTCACCATGGAATAAAGCCAGAAATCAAGATCACAAAATTGAAAAATGCATTATTTGGTGCAAATTAGTGAGCACACTCTGAAGGAAATAATGAGTTAAACAAGAACTCAAAGGGCAATCATGAGTTCTGTTAAGGTGAGTAAAAATAAAGGCTCAATGTGCTACATTTGTGAGTGTGCAAAGCGGTAACTGGAAACTTCACAGCTATACCTTTTTAAAATCTCAAGTGAAAAATCAATCTTTACACCATAAGTCACTAAAAGTAAAAAGAGGAAACTAAACCTAAAACAGCAGAAGGATGAAAGCAATAAAGACAAGCTAGAAACTAATACCATACAGAAATCTACAAAACAAGCAGCTGGCTCTTGGAAAATATCATCAAAATTGGCAAACCTCTACATAGACTCACCAAGAAAAAGGGATGATTTAAGTTACTAGTACCCAAAATGGAAGAAGGGAAATTGCTACTGAAATTTAACATTCTAAGTACCTTCTGAAAGAGGTACAGACATCATGTAACAGTATGTGCATATCCATGTTTATAGCAACACAATTCACAATCACTAAATCTTGGAAACAGTTTATGTGTTCATCAACAAACCGATGGAGAAAGAAAACACCACTATTTACACACAAAGGAGTACTACTCTGCCATAAAGAAAGAATAAACTTGAGTCATTTGTCCGAAAAATGGATGCATTTTGAGTCCATAATGTTAGATTGAATAAACCAGACAGAGAAGCTTAGATATCACATGGTTTCTATTATATCAGAACCCCAGAGTAAAAATGAGGAGTAAAATAAAAGATACATGACAGAAAGTAGGAAGATAGATGCTTCAAAAATGGTAAGAGGATCAAGAGACAGTAGGAGAGGGAGGGAGGGAATGGAAAGGAGATGGAAAAAGGAATTGAGATGTGTTATATACATACAACAACTCCACACAAGAAGTGTAAACATTATGTACTACAAACATGTACAAATAAAAAATAGTTTTTTTAAAAAGTCGATGTGTCAAGCCAGGGATATAGCTCAGTGGCACAAGTGCCTGCCTGGCAAGTGCAAGGTCCTGAGTTCGATTCCCAGTACCAAAAAAAGTCCATGTGTCATAGTCGACTGAATTTTGAGAAAGGTGCCATGAACACTGAATGGGTAAAAATAACCTTCTATAAAAGTGATACCGGGAGAACTAGATGGTCACATATAAAAGAGTAAAGAGGAACCACTGAATGCAAAACCTACTTCAAAATGTATCAAAAATATAAATATAAGGTCTACAATTATATAATTCTTAGAAGAAAGACAAGGGAGCAAATTTTCATAATCTCAGACACAGCTACTTTGAGATGAACCAAAGCACAAGTAAAAATGAAAAAAAGTATGCATTGTACATTATCAGAATTGAAAATTGTCACTTCAATAGACACTACCAGGAAAGTGAAAAGACACATAAAAAGCGATGAAAAAAGCTGTTAGTCATGTATCTGGTTAATTGTACCCAGAAAGTATAAACAAATCTTAGAACATAACAAAATTAATGAATCTTACAAATAACAAAAACAAATATCTTGGTGTGTACATGAACAAAGTACTTGATCACATGTTTATCTTAAGAAGATATTGCAGAATCATTAGCACCAGGAAAACGAAAATCAAAACCACCATTTCACATGCATCAGGATGGATGTAATTAAAATCAAGGGAAAACTAAATGTTGGGTGGGATGAGGACAAATTGAAAACATTTCATCAGGGCCTTAATAAGATAAACAGAAAGAACAACTAGGATGAGGGAAAGGAGAAAAGAAAGAAACAAGGAAGGGAAAAAAATAGTTAAGGTAATTGTACTGCTAATTGATATTGGTTTTTGGAAAGGAACATTTAATGCTTAATTTTTTGACCAATTTTACATGCTTATATCTGGTAATCTGAACAACTACTTTGAAGACAGCAATATGTAATATAACAACCATTATTGAATTCCTATAATCTTCTTTTAGGAAGTTCTGTATCACTTCTTTAAAATAAATTTTTATTCTTTAAAATAAAAAAGTTTAAAAAAAGAAAACAATAAGATAAACAGAATGACATTGTAACTCAGCTGTTCCACTACTGAATACACACCCAAAACACTGGAAACCAATATTTAAACACAATTGTAAGCAATTGTTTATAACACACTATTTAAAATAGTTGAAATGCAAAAATATCTCAAATGCCCATCAACCGATGATGAGTGGATAAACAAAATGTATTATGAACATACAATGAAACACTATGTGCCCAGAAATTGAAGTATTCTGTACATATTTCACTTGAAAATATAGTGCTACATGAAAAAAATCCAGTCACAAAAGACTGTAAGTTCTATGTGTCCATATAGATGAAGTGCGTAGAAAAGGCAAATCTGTGGAAACAAAGTACATCAGTGACTGCATATCGCAAAGGGTGTGGGAGTTGAAAGTGAAAAGGCACAAGGTTTCTCAGGTGATAAAAAATATCCTACAATTTACAATGTTGATGGATGCATATTTCTTTGAGTGTACTAAAAAAATGCATTGCCTATTTTTAGCAGGCCAATTGTATGATAGGAGAATTTTTTTTTTTTTTACGTTTTCTTGTTTTACATTTTATTTTTTTTATTTATTTTAAGGATAAAAGGAGGGAAACATTAACAGACATACAACATTTTACAACATATCACAAGCACAATACAGACAATACAGAGTTCCAAACAAAGTG